TTTCACTCAGCCTTAAAGAGGAAGGGAATTCTCACACCTGCTACAACATGGAAGAACCCGGAGGACATTATACTAAGTGAGATAAAACTGTCACAAAAGAACAAATACCGTGTGATTCCACTTCTGTGAGGTCCCTAGAGTCACCCAACCCATAGAAACAGAAAGTAGAGGGTGGATGCCCGGGACTGGGGTATAGGGAGATGGGGACAGAGTCTCAGTCGGGGATGATGAAAATGTCCTGGAGACAGATGCTGGTGACAGTTGTACAACAATGTGAATATCCTTAACGCCGCTGAACCGTACACTTAATATTGGGAAGATGATCAATTTTAGGTCATGTGTATTTTACCACAATTTCTAAAAAGTTAAATGTAAAAAGTGGACATGAAACTTTTTATTGTTTAAGAATAACCAGAGTTCCCAGGAGGCTTAATCTCTGGTTGGAGGGAGAACTAGGCCTGGGGAATACATTAAAGGGACAAGAAGAGCTACACCATGAGACGGCCTGCTCGGACGAGTCCTCAAACACACACAGAGGCCAAGAGGGGACGTGCACACCAAGCGCCGACAGCGCTCACCTCTGGAGATAAGACTGAAGTGACTTTTGTCTTCTTTCTACACACCTATTATTCAAGCTTTGCATAGTAACCATTGGTTATTTTATTTTATTTTATTTTATTTTTAAAGATTCTATTTATTTATTTGAGAGAGAGAGCACGAGAGGGAAGAGGGTCCGAGGGAGAAGCAGACTCCCCGCTGAGCAGGGAGCCCGATGCGGGACTCGATCCCAGGACTCCAGGATCATGACCTGAGCCGAAGGCAGTCGCTCAACCAACTGAGCCACCCAGGCGCCCCCATTGGTTATTTTATAACTGGTAAAAAGCACAACAAATAATCTTCCACAAACCGATTCCCACAGCACACTGACCATTACAGAAATTACAGAATGACATTCTCTGGAGGAATCCCACGTGGGCAGCACCGGGCACTGCCCCTTTAACCAGAGAGCCCGGATGCAGCGAAGCTTGAATTCCACACTAAAGCACTGCGGTGTGCTGTCTGTCCTTCCCGTGATCCTGGTTCACACACTGCCTTAAAGCTTTCTAAAAGAAGTAAATAATGGGTGTAAATAATGAATAAATGAAGAAGCAGCTCTCTTTTCTATGATAAGTTTCCACCAAATGCATATTTGCCATACCCATTAAGTCGCTTTCTTCACCACTTCTCTGGGGGTGGGTATGGCTGGGTCTTCCTGCGGTTGTACGTGAAACCTGAACTCAGTGTCACATGTCGGACTTGACCGAGCTGCAGAAGGGCAGTCCCTTCACTGAGTCACAGGGCAGCTCCAGGGCCTCCGCACTACCCCAGGGTCCCCCTACCAGGTAGCAGCACGCTGGGGGTCTGGGATTTCCTGCTGTCCAGGCCGTACCACCCTAAGACCTCACGGCACACCAGCCCTCTGGGCCTCCCTTTGACTTGCTTCCAGGATGAAATCGGGCTTATGCAGAGGACTGCGCATGGAGACTGTGCTCACGGTGCACTGAATCTACCTGCACTTGCCACAGGGGCCGCAGGTGGCTTGGCCGAATGCCACGGGCAGCTCTCCAGGCAGTGGTGTGAAATGGCCCACCTGGGTGTCTGCTATTATTGAACACCAGTTAAATCCCAGTAGCGCACTGAGTCGAAGAGTTATTTTCAGGAAGCCCCTGGACTGCAAATTCAGAGGAAAGTTGGTCTTTTCTCATTCTTTTTCATTAGAATATAAGAAATCTTTACCCCTCCTCTACTGGCTGACACCCCTGCCCCCGAGGGATCTTTGCTACTCTGCTCCCTCTGGAGGCTAGGCACACACTTTTGCACACAAGAAAGAGAGAAAGCTAAACTTTGCAGCTGACAGGTTATTTAAAGCTTTAGAGTCCAGGAGTAATTAGCCAGAGTAACAAAGTAAACTCCCTTCAAATCTGAAATTTCTACAGTTGCCTCTTAGGAGCCCCACCTCTGTCTTCAGGGCCCTGACTTTAGGGTGATCTAATTTAGTCTTCAGTGACCTGACGTTGAGGTGACCCAACTCAGTCTTCAGTGCCACCATTTAGCCTCTGATCTGCAGCTTCCTCGCCAGCAAAATAAAACTGAAAATAATACTGTGTTTTAAGGGTGATATGAAAATCAAATGAGGCCATTTATGTGGACAAATCCACTGGTTCATTCACTCAGCAAACACTCTGCCAGGCACGCACTGGGTACTGGGACGCAGACAGTGACAAGGAGGTGGTGTGCCATCTTCCTAAGCTGATGGTCTACGAGGGGAGAGAAGCATTTATCAAACAATTGCACAAACACGCACTGCACACTGTGAGATGTGTTCTGGGGAAGGTACAGGATGCCATGAGCCTCTCCTTTGGGGTGGGGTACGAGCTTATCTTGATGAGAGATGGAGCATTTCAAACAGCCAAGCCAAAGTCTGCCAGGGAGGTTGAGTGGCCCTTGGCTGCTGATGCTGAAACAACACACAGCAAGACTGTGTCCTCTACACAGAAGGGCACGTTTTCACCACCTCTGAAGCCTTCTTGAGGAGCAGTGAACACCACAGTCAAATCTCTGGGCTAGCTCCTATAGCTCCAGGTTTATAGAAAGTACGAAGCAAAGGAACAAGGTACATGCTATATTTGGGATGCAATCAGCAAAATCCAGAATGTGAAAACCACTACAAGACAAGTGAATTCGTTTTCTAAAAGTGCTGTGAGGAAAGGAAGAATAAGTGGGAGAACACTTCTGCAAGTTTAAACAGATAAACCAGCCACTTCAGTGGCTCTTCTCTAGAACCTGCTTCAAATAAAAAAAAAAAAAAAATTGTAAAGAAAATTTGTGACCACTAAGAAATGTGAACTCTGATTAGATAATGATATTAAGACATTACTATTAACTTTCATACGTGGTGAAACTATTGTGGTTAGGGTTATACAAGTGTTCTCCTCTTTTCCAGAGATATGGTGTTGAGATACAGACAGATGGAACCCTCTGAGGACGGGGAGGTGGCAGGTGCAGAGAAGCAGTAGGAAAGACCGGGACCTGCCATTGGCCGAAGCCCCATGATGCAATGCACAAGGTTCATCTTACAGTACTCTAATTATTTTGTGATTGACATTTTACATGTTTCTTTTTAAAGCATAAAGTACAGCTGGGAAAACAGTATATATGAAGAGACACCAACATTGCAAGTCAGCACAGAAAAAAATGCCCACCACGTTATGCAGTTAATAAGGGTCATTGGATAGTGAAGAGCATTTTCAGAGAGGATGTTCCCAAAGATCTGCACCTCGGGGGACGTCAAGAAGAATGGGAAGGTCCCAGGTAACGGGGAGGCAGGAAGCTCCTTCTAAGCAGTAACAGACCCCCGAAGTGTGCCGCATTCTGTGCACATACCTGGCTCTCTAATGGATTTAAATCCCTTTGGTGGGGGCTTCCTATTTCCAATAACTAGGAGAGAAGTAGTTGATAAATGGGATTTAAGCTGTGGGAGAGGAGAAAGGAGACAGAGAGGGGTGGTTACAGAGAGAAGTAGACAGCCCCCACAGCATAACCTGGAACACAAAAGCAGAGAAGCACAGAGGGTGGTCAGCACCATGGAGAGGGCCTGCAGTCGGACCAGAGGCCACCGCTCGGCCACTGGCTGGGTGGGGGTGACCTTCCGCGGTGTGTTTACAGCAGAGGTGTTGGGTGACGCTGAGCGACAACAGGAAAGCCAAATCAGCAGACGAAGGCCTCTGACGGAGGCTGGTAATTATGGGAGCGTGGAAGGCAGCAGGGCCAGGAAACGGGATTTCTCATAGCAGTGCACAGTTTAAAGCAGCCCCCAAAGGAGGGAGAGGGGCTACTGGAGGCTGCAGCCTCCTCCTCAGAGTTCCAGTCGTACAATGGTGTGTCTATGGGCAAACAATCCGTAGGCAAGTGCACAGCCTGCCTTCGTATACAGCTTCCTTCCCCAAGACAAGAACGAGAAGAAAGCATTAGTAATGGCCACACATGCCTCCCTCTAATTATAACTTCGCTTTCCTTCCATTTAGAAGGTGCCATAATGGATTTGTGGATCGAGAGAGAGAGAGAGAGAGAGAGAGAGAGAGAGAGAGAGAACAAGAGACCTACTTAGCTGAAAAGCAGCAATATGTAGAAAAGAAGACTGTCAGAGCAAATCCAATTAAGGCGTCACTTACAGAAAATAGACGGCTGATGTTAATGTGATTCTTGGTCCGTTTTTTTTAGAAACCCTGCTATCTGCTCAATTTTATTATTTGTATGTCTTCAAAGAAGAAGTCATATTTTATCAGAGTCTCACTTGATATTTTATGGTCTTAGAAACAAACACACTAGAGTCCTCTGCACCTTACAGAGTCGGAGCCGGTCAATACCCCTTCTCCTTGGGGCAGCCACAGCAGGGGCGTGACCCGCGGGAGAGCCCTGGAGGATCAGGTGGAAAGCCAATCACTTCGAAGGCCGCACGTGGCCTCACTGCATTGTGAGTGGCATTAGCTTCACACTGGGTTCTTTTGGGGACAGGCAAATAACCATAACTACAGGAGGTGGCCCCGAGTTTGACCATAAGGAGTGCTGAGGGGTGACATACGCCAAATCCAAAAGCCTGCATGTTCCATTTTCCAAAACGTTCTGTGGCCAACATGGTTTGGGGGCCAGATCTGGTCACGTTCCCCAACCTGTTTGAGTGCCTTCATCCGTGAAGCAATGGATGGACACTGCAGGGCAGGGCCCACACACCCTTTGCTTCTGCCATCCCCAGAAGGGCCCTTTTCTGCCGGGCCTGACTACGACCACCTTCCTTCCTACAGCAGCAGGGGGACGGGATGGTGCTGAAGGCCCTTCCTCACACCACGAGGGCTGTGGCCGTGACCCAGGGGGGCAGTGCAGAGTGCAAAGGGCTGGCCCTGGGCAGGTACCGGAAAGACAGAAACAACAAAAACACGGGGGACTGGAGGAGGCTTACTCACCATCACCAAAGGCCAGGGGGTCCTCGGGGTCTCCTGGTGATGAAGGCCATTTCTGGAGGGCTGCTGGGGCCGAGAGGACCCTTGCTGTTCTCCAGGGCATACGCAGCGGATTTCGAGGCCCTCGGTCGCCCTCCCCGTGGGGCGCTGGGGGCTTCCGAGCCACAGAGGTGCCCAACGAAGTGACCAGGCTCTGTCTGTCAGCACCGCCGTCCACCTTGGGGCTCAGCTCATCAGGCCGAAGCCGGCTGCGCATCCGTAAAGGGCGGCCCCCGGGGTGATCGGCCCGGGGCCCAGGAGCGTAGGTCAGAGCGGATGTCTGCGCCATGAAGGTCAGCATGCTGTCAGCACGGGGGTCCTCACCCTGTAGGGGCCAAGGATCAAACACAGCAGGTGAGCCTCCACGTCAGCCACTCAAAAGGGCATTTGAGGCACTACATAGCCCTGACATCTCTGAAATGCACACCCGAATTTTCCCGCCACCGACAGACCAAACTCTATGGTCCATATTCATTTTGCATTGGTTTTCTAATAGCAGCTTTATGGAGGTATAATTCCCATACCACAAAATACACCCGACTCATGTTTTTAGTATATCCAGAACAGTGTGAACATCACCACCATCTTTAATCCCAGCACGTCTCGATCACCCCAAGAGAAACCTCATACTCATCCCCACACCCCCAGCCCTAGGCACCTGCCAGTCTACTTTCTGTCTCTATGGAGACAAGTTCTATCAGTGGAATCATACACCACGTGGCCTTCCGTGCCTCGCTTCTTGCACCCTGTGCTCGAGGTGCATCCTGGCCGCAGCACCCAGCAGCCCTGCATTCTTTCCTACCGCTGAAACGTCTCATTTTAAAGAGATCACACATTCTGTCAGTCGGTGGACATCGGGGGCCATTATACGGCTATGAACATTCATCTACAAGTTTCTTGGGGACGTATGTTTCCAGTCCTCTTGGGTTTACGCCTGGAAGTGCAATTGCCGGGTAGTATGGTAACCGTGCATGTGACTTGCTGGGAGCTGCCAGGATGTGCTCCAACACGGATGTGCTTGTGTGGTCCCACCAGCCAGCTGTGAGGACTCCAGTCTCTCTCCCTCCTTTAGCCATCTGTTTCCTTACATCCAGCTACTGGGTGTGAAGTGGCAGCTCACTGAGGCTTTGACTTGCATTTCCCTGCTGGTCAATGATGCTGAGCGTCTTTCATGGGCTTCTCGTCTTCCGTGGAGAAATGTCTCTCCAGTTCCGTCACCTGCACTGGTGTTTACGGTTGCTGCAAAAGCAGCTCTCCATCTGAGACTGACTCTCTCCCTCAGTACAGGCACCTACTGCTCTGTCTTACGGTCTTCGTTTCACTCCAACTCCTTTCTTTACCAACTACTGAAATCACTTTTCTCTCCTATTCCTTCGACACCAATATTCCACAACAGCAAAGCTACCCTTCTATGTAACACCACGTCCACGACCCAGCCAGCATGGCCTCTCATTGAGCCTCCACCTGTGTGTCCCCCTCACTCACTCAGTCAGTCGTCTCAGGAGGGTACATTCCCATCAGACTGTTTTGCCAGTAGACAAATCAAGGCCCAGTTGTCCCCCACTCTGGAACAGCTATAAAAATGCTAGAAAGTTCAATGTTCTACTTTTGACTGTGGGACAAACACAGAAATTTCCAACGTGGAGATTCTCAGAAAAGTTACAGCTGTCCTGGAGACTTATTCAGAGCTCCCTTCATGATGTGGAATGGGTCCATGAGCCACAAAGTTTTTCAATCTTGCCCATATTCATATTTTCTAAATGCACCTTGCTTGGTGCAGGAGATCAATGTTGAGTCAAAGGGGAGCAGACATTGGGATCTAGTTAAGATGCGCAGCCATCACTGAATTTAAGACAAGTGGTTCAGACTCCCAAGTCTGGCCATTTTCAAAAATATGTGGGGTCAGCCTTCCAGGATAGATTTTGGTGTAGCAAGTTAGAAATCAGAAAACTAGGGTTGATATTGGTTTTAGTTATTGTTCTCACATATGAACTTGGGCAAATCCTTTGGCCTTTTGAGACTGAATTTTCTGTCAAAGAAGGAGACTGGACATTATCTCTCAGATTGTCTTTATTTTTCTAAAATGATGTCATTTTAGCTGTCATCCAAATTGTTTAATGTTGTCCAAGTACTGGCTGAAATCAACTGCTTTTCCTTCAGAAAAAAGGAAGATTCCTTAGAGAAAGGGAGAGAAAAATAAAATGCTACCACACAGATAGGCCCCTCCAGCAGTTTCCCACAAATTGGGTGTAAGTGTCAATCTTAAGCTCAGCCTGAACTTCTGTCCGAAAGGCTGTGTCTGAACACCTGGTCAGGTCACAGTGCTGGGGGCTGCAGATCTCATCCAAATGCCTCATTAATGTGCCCACAAGCGTCTCTCCTCTCTCTGCTACGAATGCAGCCTATCCTAGAGCTTCTACTCAAAGGGCCTTTAATTATAGCTGAACTGGAATGCTCCGGGTAAAGGACAAACCAGGCTGAACACAGTGCACAACAAATCACTGCTGAACGTAATCCGTGCACTAGACTGCGATAAACAATCTATTTTGGGTCTGTTCATCCTGTGAACCAAATTAAGGTGAAGAGGGAAAAATAATATTTCCGTAGGTACACTGTAGGAATAATAGAAAAGCATGGGTTTTTACAAGTCATACCAGGTCCTCTGTAAATGACAGCCAGCATGATGGTGTCCTCGGGGGAGCTCACTGGGGCCCAGCCAATAGCTCGGAGCCCTGGGAGTTGGGAGATCAGCAATACAAGTATTCTCGTGACGGCTTCCTGTTTGTGGCGTCAAGTCTTGGAGGACAGAGCTGGTAGATGGGGCTGGATTCTGGGGCCTGGGTTGGAGTCCCACCTCTGATCTCACAAGCCTGGTGAGTTATTTAACCTCTAAGTCATCTGTAAAATGGGGATAATAAGCACAGTGCCTGGTGTTGCTGGTTACTGCTCCTACCATTCTTACTACTATTATTTACTTCACCTTCTTAGACCTTCCTTTTCTTTAAAGCAGTAGGAAGTCCACAGATGAACTGAGCAGAAGCCACTCCCCCATTCTGAAGGTTTTAAGCCTGAATTCAACAAACCTATGATGTCAGGTTCCCAAAAATAATGCTGAATAATTTTTCGGACTTTAGTTGCCCAAATCTGGAATTAGCAACCTGAAAGTACACAAATTTGCCAATTCCCAGCACATGGTGTGGCCACTTCTGGTACATTAACTCTTCGTACCATACATTAGAGAAATCTAGGTGGGGCATCCTTGATATGATACACTTTGCATGAAGCCTCTGAGAACTGCTGCCAAAGCTTGTTGAACTTTACCCTGAAATCATCTTCCTCCAGGCATATTCCTTAACCCAAGGTGTTGCCACATGAGAAGGAGTGGAATCCACTTACCCACACCTTCCATGGTATTGAATAAAACCAAGGGGAAGACGGCTCTTTTGGGAAACTGGCCTGATCCTGTCAGTGCAGCTCTGTGGCATCTGCACGACTTTGAGCTTCCCTCTTACTACCTTCAAAATTAGGAAAATACTTCCTTTTTTCTTAAAGCAGGTATGAGGATTAGTGAGGGTAAAAAATTAGGTTACAGTGCTCAGCACAGGGCTCAGAGGAGGTGTTGAGACATGGTGGGCAGTAGCATCCTCCTCACCAGCACCAAGCATCATCACCTCTGTAAGCATGATCCCCTCTGTGCTCGCCACCATCAGCAGCAGCATCCCCATCCAGATGGCTACCAGGGGCATGATCGTCACCGTCACCTCCCCCAGCAGCATCACAAGCACTAGCGGTATGCCAAGCTCTGGACTACGTTCTGTGGGGAGAGAAGGTCTCAAACACGGACCTGAGACAAACTGCAGGCGGAAATGGGAGTTAGGTCACGGACCTAAGCAACTCTTAGTGAAAGTGTATTTTTTAAAGAGGTTCAGTGACCCTGGTGTGAAAGGAAGAGGAGAATTGGAGCAGTAGCCTGGAGCCAGCCGACACACTTCCTAGAGCCACAGCCTGTCTGCCCAGCCATGAACTAGGCATGGAAGCTCTCCTTCCTGCCAGGTTCACCAGGACCAAGGGCCCAGAGCGAAAAGTCAGGCTTCCTTCCTTGCATGGAAATCCGCCCACTCCAGTCCCAGACCGCACAATTATGGATTCAGACCGCCAGCAAGCCTGGAGGCCCTCGGAGTCCCACATGCGAGCAAACACTGAGTGGATGAGACATGTCTATACACTGGCCACTGATGCTTATCAGGTGCTCCCTTATGCCAAGGACCCAAAACAAATTAGGAGACTCACACTGGGCCATGTGTGACCACAGAACATTGTCTCCCGTTTGTCCCACAGCCTGAAGGCAGCACTGACAAGCACGTTGATCAAGATGTGCTTGCGGCTGGTGACAAAGTACACAGCAGTGGGGCTGTCCACAGGCTTCCTAATGAGGTGCCCCCACGATGCCACTGGATGTGGCAAGATTTGAGATCCCCATAAGGGGGTCTCAGGAACCCTCCACCTCCAATTCATTAATGTAGAAAAGCGATTACTTTGCAGTGCCCTTCTGTGCTCGGGCCGTAGACGACGATTCTGGTGCACTTTTAACCCTCTCCCTCCGTCTCTCTCTCTCTCTCTGTCCCTCCCTACCCCATCTTTCCCTCTTCCCCCTTCCCTCCTCCTCGGCCCCTCTCCCCGCTCTCCCTCCCTTTCTTCCCTCCTTCTGCCTCCCTCTCTCTGGCTCTCCCTTCTTCCCTCTCTCCCTCTTTACGCTCCCCCTCCCGCTCCCCAACACAGAGAGAGAAGGCTGTCCTGCCAAGGTGCTCAAGCTCTAAGCCGCCAGCCTGCCCCCCCGTGCAGGGAGTAAACTGGAGGTGTCCTTCTTACGCATTGCAGCCAGGACAAAAGAAATGTTGGCCTTTAGGGGAGCTTCACACTGGTCTTTCTCTGCAGCTGAGCCATAGAGCTTTCAGTTAGAAAAACCAGTCCCCAAACACCTTTTACAGAGTTCACAAAATCTATGTGGTTAAAGGGATGTTAAGTTCTAAACTTGGGATCAAAGAACTTTGCAGAAAGTTAACAGTAATCCGAGCTGTGGATTTTAGATTACGGATTTCCGCAATGATCCTGCGTTACGCTCACTTGGAATGGTTCTAGAGACAGCTGATGGCTTGAAGCCAGCACCTGCTCCTCCCCACCCACATTACGTCTTCCTCTGTCATTCCTGCTTCATCTGCTGTCCTGGTTCGCACCTTGTCCTTTCCAGCAGCGGCACCTATAGCCTCAGACTCAGCAAGTAACAGGTTGAAAGGAATGCACTGAAGCAGAGAGTTGCCATCCATT